TTTTAACTGACTTTTTTATTTTTATTTGAATTTTATTGAATTTTATTTTATTTTATTTGTATTCTTTCACTTATTGTTGCATGTGTGTTGTTGCTGCCTGTGTTTGAGTAATTTCTGTAACTGTGAGACACCTGCTGCTGCCTATCTTGGCTAGGTCTCCCTTGAAAAGGAGGTTTTTAATCTCAATGGGATCTTCCTGGTTAAATAAAGGTTAATAATAAAATTAACACATTTTATAAAATTCATGTATATACAGATCTTAATAAAATTGTAACTGTCATTATATTATGCTGCTATTATACTGTCATTATATTAATGCTGCTATCCTGTATATATTGTACATACTATTGTTTGAGTACTTACGATTGTTTTTTTTGTACTTTTTATATTTTACATTTATATTTATTATTGAAACTTGCACCAAGGGAGTGGCACTCCAATTTCGTTGTACTCTGTACAATGACAATAAAGGCTATTCTATTCTATTTTAAAATTGTTAGACCGCAATCATAAAAACAGAAAAGACCACACAGCATTTTAATACCGACTCTTTGCTTTCAGTGAATTCTCAAAAATAAACTTTAGACTAATTTTACATTTTTATACTCAAATCTGAACCTGCACACAGTAATTATATAATATATAAAAACATTTATGTTTGCATGAAAAACTATTTTTGCAGCACTTCACATTAAACTCAATTTTTCACAAAAATGTCAGTTTTATTAATGTAGCAGATTTTATTAGAGTTAAACTCAACACTGAATATAAAAACATAAAATCTTATGTTAGTTTACATTAAACAGTGAAAACTTCAAAGTAAGTGTGTGTGGACAGAAAGGTTTGGAGTCGGTTTCCGAATGTTTGCACAGATTGGACTGACCTCAGGCCAGTAGGCAGCTTGTTTGGTCACTGAATGTACCTTCAGCAGATTTATATACTGGAAACCATTTTAAAAAAGCCCTGACTGTAAATGCATTTATAAACAAACTGCCAGCCATGATTTCCAGTGTTCTTCTCCTTTAGTCTATTTCTCATTTGAGTGAAAGACTCATTTTAGTCATTTTAAATTTTGTCAATGTTGTGTTTTCTTTTATTTACTTTTATTAATGTTAAATCGTTTAGAGGAAAAACCCACACAGCAATAGTTCAGCATCTATAATTAAGTGTAGCACCGAACTTTAGTTTAAAAGGATGCAGAGATTGGATTCATGGTTTTACACTGTGGATGTGCATGGTCTGTGGGACAGCTGTGAGGGAGACAGTCGCTGCACCTGTATGTTATCCGCATTCATGCCTCGGTGGCCTGAATGCTCTGTACCGGGTCCTGTCATTGTTGTCAGTGTGTATGGCTGCGAGCTGCAAAGCTGCAGCCGTGATAATAAAAGTATGCTGAAAAGCATGAGTACATGGTTGGGTCTCTCTCTCACACACACAGACTCACAGATTGGCCACCACAGAGTCCACATCTTTATTCTTAAATGAGAATCTGGAGAAGACTGCAGCTCTTTGGTTCTTCAGTTATCAATATTTTACATATAATTATTGTAATTTATGCCACATCAAATGTTTCAGTTCATCAAAGCTAAAGGCAGTCTAATGAAATGTTAATGTGTGCCTTTTGGTTTTTGAAGGAAAATGTCAATGTGCATGTCCAGATTATGCAGTATTGCACAGATGATCCAGATGTGCTGATGGCAGTGTTACTACAGTAACATGTAGTTACTCCAAACGTGGCAAATTTCACTCAGACAGTCTCCTCAAAAGTCATCTCCACACACAGTGAAGTTGCAGCTTGCTGGAAATGCATCTCCATCCATCCATGATGATAGGTTTTCTTCCTCTCTGATGCCATTTGCACACACTGCTGCTGAACCTCTCTCAGGACTCTGTTGTTGTCTCTTGGATTGCCGTGAACTGTAGATGTGCTGTGCTTCTGGAACTGCACTCCTTGTCTTCAGGCAGAGGTTAGCTTCTGTGGAGCTTGTTTTCTCAGGGTGAGGAACACATGGAAGTTAAGCTGTAAACACCACTCAGCCAAAAGCTCGGCCTGAGTGTTTCCTAATGATGTTAAACCTAGAATTTTCTTCCAACTGCTGCATGTGGAAAATTGATCCAGGTCTGCTTTCACCTGAAACTGACAAACTAAGACATTTTCATTATTCTCATCACTGCTTAAACGACACACATCTCTCTGTTTTTTCAACCCTCCTTTCTTAAAAACAGAAAGTGGGATTGCAGTTGTTTCAGGCTGAGAAACACCAAACTCTTCATGTTATCTTTCATATTTCATCAGCACAACTATTTTATTTCTTTTGTGTCCACTGGGTTAAAAAGTGACCTGCAGAATCATGTCTGCCCCAGCTGGATACCACTTCACTCACATACTTTCACATCTCAGGAACAGATTAACTCTGAGTCATTCATTTGATTTCAATCAGCACATTTATTAATCATGAGTATCCACATTAAACATTAAGCAATTATTCATCCACTGAGGCGTAAACTGCACACATACATGAACACATATTTATCTTATAAAAACATTCTATTTATTATTCAAAGTTGTTTGAAAACCTTTCCAGGTGAGTTTGATCCAGGAGGATCAGAAGCCACTTTCAGACAGAGACTATGCAGAGACTGTACAAGGACAAAGCAGCAGCAGAGCAGTCCAGATACACTGATGATCCTCTGTCAGATCCAGAGGGACACAGGGATGACACTGGACTCTACATTGTGTCTGACAGTGGAGCTGTTGTCAGAGCAGTTCACTCTGCAGCACTGACAGTCATCTGCACTTCTTCTCATTCCTCTGTCAGTCACTGCTGGATGAAGCTCTCCACTCCACCTCCCAGTAACATGGCCCAGTCAGAGCGTCTCTACACACAAGCTGCTGTGGCTTCAACCTCTCTGGATCATCAGGACACAGCTCATTTTCTTTCAGCACAGACACTGTCCTGTTTACCATCATCAGCTCCACCTGCAGAGAGAAGTAGGAAGAGCAGAGGAGATAAACAAGTGTTTCCAGAGACTCTTCCAGAGTACTCGTTTCAATTTTCTATTATTTACTCTGGATTTTTATTGAAGTGCATGAAAATGTTCTTCCACTCTTAGTTTTAGTTTGGACCTTTATCCACCCATGCATCCATTTTCTTCCGCTTATCCAGGGCTGGGTTGAGGGGGCAGCAGCCCAAACAGGGAAGCCCAGACCTCCCTCTCCCCAGCCACCTCCTCCACCTTGTCCGGGTGAACACCAAGGCGTTCCCAGGCCAGCCGAGAGATAATCTCTCCAGGGTGTCCTGGGTCGGCCCCGGTGCCTCCTCTCATGGGGACATGCCCAGAACACCTCACCCAGGAGGCATCCTTGTCAGATGCCCGAACCACCTCACCTGGCTCCTTTCGATGTGAAGGAGCAGCGGCTCTACTCTGAGCCCCTCCCGAATGGCCGAACTTCTCACCCTATCTCTAAGGGAGAGGCCATCCACCCTTTGGAGGAAGTTCATTTCCGCCGCTTGTATCGGCAATCTCGTTCTTTCGGTCACTACCCAAAGCTTGTAACCATAGGTGAGGGTAGGGATGTAGATTGACCAGTAAAGTGAGAGCTTTGCTTTTATGCTCAGCTCTCTCTTCACAATAGACCAGTAAAGCGTCCGCATCACTGCAGCCGCAGCAGCAGTTCTTCTGTAGATCTCGCGGTCCCGTCACTCATGAACAAGATTCGGGGATACTTAAACTCCTCCACTTGGGGCAGAAACTCGTCCCTGACCCGGAGTGGCCACTCCATCTTTTTCCAGCTGAGAACTATGGCCTCAGATTTGGAGGTGCTGGTTCTCATTCCCAACGCTTCACACTCTGTTGCGAACTGTTCCAAGGCGAGCTGGAGGCCATCAGCCGATTATGCCAACAAAACCACATCATCCGCAAAAAGCAGAGATGAGATCCTGAGACTACCCAAGTGAAAGCCTTCCGCCACTTGGCTACGTCTAGAAATTTTGTCCATAAAAATTATGAACAGAATCGGTGACAAAGGGATACCCTGCTTGAGCTTATCACCCACCAGGAACGAGTCCGACTTATTGCCGGTTATGCAGAACAAGCTCTTAAGACGGCTGTATAAGGACTGAATGGCCCACAGCAATGAGCCAGACAGACACCCCATACTCCCAGAGCAACCCCATAGGACCCCCTGAGGGACACGGTCGAATGCCTTCTCCACATGTAGACTGGTTGGGCAAACTCCCATGCACCCTCCAGTATTCTTGCGAGGATGAAGAGCTGATCCAGTGTTCCACGCCTAGGATAAAAAATGCATTGTTCCTCCTCTATCAGAGGTTCGACTAACGGACGGACTCTCCTCTCCAGCACCCTGGCATATACTTTCCCAGGGAGGCTGAGGAGTGTGATTCCCCTGTAGCTGGAACACATTCTCCGGTCCCCTTTCTTAAAGATAGGAACCACAACTGCCAATCCAGAGGTATGCAACATTGTAGAGGCGTGTCAACCAAAACAGCCCTACAACATCCAGAGCCTTCAGGAACTCGTTCATCCCAGCAGCTCTGCCACCAAGGAGTTGTTTAACTGCCTCAGTGACCTCGCCCCCAGAGATTGGCGAGTCATCCCTTTTGTAACCAGACTCTGCTTCCTCCACGGAACACATGCCAGTGGGATTAAGGAGGTCCTCGAAGTATTCCTTCCACTACCTGACAATTTTCTCAGTCGACGTAAGGAGCGCTCTACCCGGACTATACACAGTGCAGGTAGAACACCGCTTGACGGTTTGTCTTTTTCAATGGCTTCTCCGAATTCCTCCCACACCAGAGTTTTTGCTTCAGCCACCGCCCGCGCCCCGTTCCACTTGGCCTGTCGGTACCTATCAGCTGCCTCTGGAGTCCCACAGGCTAACCAAGCCTGATAGGACTCCTCCTTTAGCTTGGTGGCTCTCCTCACTTCTGGTGTCCACCATTTGGAACTTTCATTCTTTAGAATAACCTTGGACTGTCCACTCTGAGCTCTTTAGGAACCCCAAACGCCCCAGCAATCCAGATGGAATGGTTCCAGCTGTTAACTGGAGGAATTCCATCCAAAAATCTTTCTAAATTCTTCCTTACCTACAGGCTGTCTTCTTCACTGCTTTAAACTTGGAAATGAATGCGGTTATTGGTCTGCGTGCTGCTTTGTTCAGAGAGCTGATTGGCTGTTGACACTGATCAGAGCGTGAGCTGTTACTATGGTGACCATAAAGGTCACAAAAAGGCAGAAACAGGAAGTGTTTGTGTACAGTCCTGAAACCTGTCACCATTCTCCTCTCACTGCTTCATTGAGAAGCTGCAGCTTTACAGGAAACACTGGATCTTTGTTTCATACTGACTGTGTTTAGTACAATACTGCTGATAGTACCACCCACTCACTCCAACACTCTACTGACCTCAGAGTCTCCAGTCTGCAGTCTGGACTCTCCTTAAGATCAGTCAGCTGCTTCACATCTGGAATCTGGAGGTCATTTCTCCATAGGTTCAGCTCTCTCAGATGGGAGGGGTTGGATGTCAGTGCTGCTGTCAGATAATCACAGCTGATCTCTGACAAACCACAGCCCTCCAATCTGTATAAAGTGTGAAAGATGTAAGTTTATTAGACAAAGTGTGTGCTTGAAATCATTCAGTGTTTCACAATATGTTCAGAATGTATAAGTTTAGAAAATGGAAACTCCAAACAGCTGAAGCCAACAAATTTGAATCTCTGTTCTGTGACAAAGTCCTTGAATCATTTCTTCCAGTTTGTCCAAAAAGACAGACTAAGTATTGGACATGTGTTGTGGCTCCATTAGGGGAGATTCTAAATGTAATGTGATGGCCCCTCTGGGTCTGTCAGATCACAGTACTGAAGAGAGCTCAAACTGAGCACACAGTTGTTCCAGTCTGGACCAAAGACTCTATACTGGAACTGAGGGACTGCTTTGACTGTCCACTGGCACCTTTTAAAGGCTCATGTTCTCACTTAGATCATCTATTTCCACTTAAATTTCTTTCTGGGAAAAATGGGGATTACTTCGAAAACAGTAACTATTATACCCCCATAAGCATCCTTGGATTAGTAAATCACTCAAACAATTTCTCAGTCAGAAGAAGCTGTCTTGTTATGAGGAAGATAAGAAAAAGAATGAGGCACAAGAACTTGTTTAAAGAGATTAAGCAGCTACAATAAGGTCTAAAAGTAAAGCAGATAATGAGCTGAATAAAGGACACTCAAGGCTGGCTTGAAAAGGAATGAAGTCCATGGTGGGAATGCAGAACAAGGACAAAAGATGAATGTGATGCTGAATCAGCAGAAGAGTTTGACTCATTTGATTCTAGCTCTGATATCATTGATTTCATGGAAGAGGTTTGTCATTTTAGGAAAGGGCTGGTAGGCTCTGAGAGTCACACGGTGAGGTGTTTGTGTGTAAATGTCTTAGTTGAATCAAAGGCCTGGTCCTGATGCTTTGGGAGGAAAATAATTGAAGTGTGCTGTGAGGAACTGACTGGGCAACTTTCACACATTTCCCAGTCCTCCTTGGAACATCAGAAAGTTTCCAGCATATGGAAACAAAGGTTAAGTGTCCTATGGCACTCAGTGATGATGATGGTCCTGCGGCCTCTACACTAGGGCTGAACGATTATGGAAAATAATCTAATTGCGATTTTTTGCCCCAATATTGCGATTGCGATGCGATATGCGATTATTTTTTAAG